GTGCGGCTGTGCCCGTGCGCTCCGCACCCTCACCGGCGGCCGCCAGCACACAGCGCGGGCGAGGGAGGAGCCCTCAGCCGACCCTTGCAGCACCCGAAACGATAGCCAGGATAACTCCAGGCAGAAAGGTGCCGAGGAGAGACTGTGAGGTTAAAAAAACGGAATTCTGACCAGGGAACAAAATGTGTCCACCCGAGGCACAGGCAGAGGCGCCCCCTGCCGGAGAGGAGTTCATGGGCCTGCCGTCACTCCCTGCAAACCACCACTCCCAAACTATCGGTAATTCTAGTGATGGTCTCACACCGTTAGAACAAAATTTGTGAAAATTCCTTTGAACGAAGGACCTGCCCTCTCTTCGGGGGCAGCCCAGCTGCCTACAGGTCCCAGGGCTTGCGAGGAGACGCCAGCGCCACGCCTCCTCCCCGCCTCGCTCTGTGGCGTGTGCAGTGCGGGAGAGGCCCGGGCTTCAGCCACCGCCAGCGCCCGTGACCGCAAAGCACCAGAAGTGGGTGCTCAGCAGCGGCCCTTCCCACCAGGCCCTCGGGGCAGGATTTGTAATTCTTTGTTTTAACCTCACGATCCGTTCTGAGCACTCTGCTGTCCTGCCCGTAGTCCTCACACTACCACTTTCGGTGCGGAGGGATCTCGCTGAGCCCTCCCCCGCATCCTGGAGGTGCGGAGACCTGTAGGGAAGGCCCGTATGAAGACACCCACTTTCCCTCCTGCCTCCCGACCGCCCCCAGGCCCCTTCTCAGAGGAACACCCACTCTCCCTGCAGAGGGGGCTCGGGACGTGTGCGGTGGGGACCCAGGTGCCAGTGCTGGGGCCCGGAGCGAAGTTGCCTAGATCCATCTCAGACACGGGCTAGGACACAGGAAGCCATGGAGGAGGGCTTCCCAGAGGAAAGCACCTTAGCACTGGGCACAATGGACAAATAGGTGTGTGCCAGGCAGGGATGGAGGGGCGTGAGGAACTCATTATGGAGAGGAACACGAAGGCCTGGAGTGTAAACATGGCACAGTCCACTACCATGGCCAGAACACCGCAAGTGTCAGCAGGTGACAATGGAAGGTGCAGCAGAGTCCAGACTGTGACAGGCCAGCTGCCGCCATTTACCCTGAACCAGTGCAGGGGCTGCTGGCAGGTCAGACCGAGGAGAGAGACTTGGGGGGATGCATGTCTGCTCTGAAGGCGGCTGCTGCAGGGCCCGAGCCCTGCTATTCCTAGGCCACCTGTTCAATCCGCAGCTGGGTCAAGGCTCTGGGGTGGGGTGTTCGGTCAGCCTGCAGAAGGACACCTCCACCCAGACACAGGGATGGGTATGTGTGTGTGTGTGTGTGTGTGTGTGTGTCTGGTGTGTGTACACTTGTGTGTGTGTGCACCGTGGCTCCTGGCCCCCTCAGGTCCTTCTGGAGCACACACACCGTGCCCAACTCCCCCGAGACACGGAAGGAGCAGGAAAGGAGCGGGTGGCATGATGACCCCCGGCAGGCCCGCCAGCTCAGGACGGCGCTGAAGTGTCAGCAGAAGGTTGCTGGCTGCTGCTGATTTCGACATCCACTTAAGGCTTTTCACTAAAGCTCAGTGATATTTATGAGTAAGTTTTACAGCTTGATTTTTTTAAACATCTGGACATTTTGGAGTAAAGCCCAAATCAGCATGCCTGATTGGAAGTCAGTTTGGTTTTCCCAGCACAGTAGCAACGAGGAAGAAGTCAGCAGACATTACTAAGGAAGGAAAAGCAACCCACTTACCCTGTCAACTTTCATGATCTGAAACCTCTGAGAAATGTCGGCAGTGTTGGCCGGCAGCCGGGAGCGCCCGGACACGAAGCGCATGAAGAGCACCCGCTCCTCGTTGGAGAACTCCTCCAAGGTGCGCCAGAACCACTGCACCAGCTGGTGCTGCTCATCCACCTCGCGGTACCGCACCACCTTCTTCAGGACCTCCACGGAGATCTCAGGCATCCCGCACACCATCTGCTCCAGCTGCTTCGCGGTGAGCAGGGACAGCAGCGGCACGGGGACGATCCAGGACATCCCTTCTCGGACTGCAGCTACCTGCGTCAGAAGAGGCCGTTTACCTTACCATGCCTGCGTGAGCGGGCACCCACCGTGACCCAGCTGGGCAAGGTGTCCACTCCAACACCAGGTCAGGCCTGTGAATGGGACCATACTCTGCCCAGCTCGGGGACTCTAGTGCTCCTCTGGGCCCAGCTCCAGCCTAATGTAGGAGCAGCCTACCTTCCTGTCCCACAAAACCCCAGCCCCTTCCAGCGCAGGGGTGCACACCCATAATCCTAGCTACGCAGGAGGCTGAGGCAAGAAGATCACACGTCCTAGACCAGCCTAGGCAACTCAGCAAGACCCTGATTCAAAATTACAAATTTTAAAAGGGCTGGGGATGTAGCTCAGTAGCGTACCCCTAGGTTTAAGTTCTGGTACCACCAAAAACCCCCAAACTTAAAGCCCAGCCCCCAAGGCCCTGCCCAATCTTCCTGGTCACATGTGGCCATGCGCCCTTAAACTGCCGTGTGGGGGGTGCACCTCCATGTCCTCTGGGTGTTCTTAGAAAACTCTTGGAGCTGTCTACTGTTTTTGTAACTTATTTTTCTTTGGAAAACAGTTTTATCCTTATAAAAGTTATTTGTGCTCAGCATAAAAAAAATTGAAAAGCACAAAGAAGAAGATAAAAATGGAAAGTCAGTAAAGGCAAACAATTCCGGAGACTTGGTTCTAAGTCCCAGGCCCACACTCAGTAACCCCATGACCTCATCCTCTCATCTGAGGAGGGCTTCACATGAGGAACGAGCAGTCCTGCTGACGGAACAACAGTGCTCTGCTCTCCGCACAGTGCTCAGCACGGGCCGGCCGGGCACTGCCGAGGGGGCGCTGCGGGGGCTGCGAGGACAGTCTCAGGCGTGTGCGCCACGGCTGCACCCCAGCACGTTCCCTGCGCGCAGACCCATCACTGTTTTAAGGGTTGTTTCATAAACGCTTCGCCCTTGGCCAACTCAAAAATCACCTCTGATAACAACAGAAGTCTGAGAACGTTTGCAGGAGCAGGGCAGTCTCCAGGAACACCAGGCCCGAGCAGGCCCCAGCCACGCCGTCATGGCTGGTAATCCGTGACACCCGCTGACTGGGAAGAACAGGACTGAGGTGTGGGCTGGCTGCAGGAGGCGGGAGGGGACAGCTAGGGCACTAAAGGGAAGGAAGAACGCTTACTTCTAAGAGATGAAGAAAAAATGAAAGGAAAAGGCCTTGTCAGAGAAGGACGCAAGGCCCGGGTGGGGCAGGCACAGCTGATGTGCCGGTGTGGGGACCTCCGTGTGGTGTGACGCTGGCGTGGGGCCTGGCTCTGCCGGGGGTGCGCGGCTCTCTGGAGCACTAGCTCTTGTGGAATGGGGACCGTGACCCTCACCTCTGAGAGGACCCACAGGGAAACTGCACACGAGGGTGTCCGGCATCATGCCCAGCGTGCAGGAAGTGATTCATATACTTCCCTCGTTCCAAGGAAACAAGCTGCTTTGGGCAACCACGGTTTTACTGTTAGGCTTTGAAGATGAAAATTTTCACAAACCAGAGAGACACTCTGAGACCTGGCTGTGCACAGAGCATCTCTACCAGAACCACCCTCACTGGGCTGAGGGAAATACTGACTTGTCTGGACCCCAAGCCAAAGTCAAGGAAGGAATCAGAAGTGACAGGCGTGGACCCACACTTCCAGTTACTGAATCGCTGCCGCCCCAGCACCTGGGGCCAGCTCTGAAGGAGCCTGACCATGCCCGAAAGGAAAGCCGTACTGAAATGACGATCCGTGTCGCACTGCCAGAATAACCATACCGGACACCACACCGTCTCTGGGTCTCCCATCCACACTCGGCTCCATGAATGCTTACTTGTCAGAACCAGGGCAACGCAGGCCAAAGCCTCGGACCCGCACCCAAGTCTTACAAGCGAACAGAAGAGCAAGACCCAGATTCTAGGGCTTGGTTCTCAGAGCAGCAGAGAGGTCTGTGCAGTGTCTTGAGGAACTGAAAAGGAGGCTAAAGACCGCTCCAGGCGAGGCTCGGAGGGAAGCGGGTCTGCGGAGGAGACGCAGTAGCCAGGCCTGAAGGCCTGCAGCAGGAGAGGGAAGGCACTCGTGCAGGGGGCTGACCGTGCAGGGCGCTGACCCTGCCGGAGTGGGCCCACTAAGGCACGGGACAGGCAGGACGGGTGAGCAGTGAGAAGAGGGGCCTGACCGCCAGGGCGAGAGCCTGGCCTCCACCCAGCCCGTGACCGCTGCAGAGGCGATTTAGGGTCGTGAGCAGGAGGAAGCAGATCCAAGGACAGGGCCTGAGC